TGGTTCACCAACCGATGATCATCTCTTATCGAGGGATCTGCTTTCCTCAATCCGCTGAGGCTGTTATTGGACTGGGACTTCCTAAGGTCGCAGTCAGTGACTTGTGTTTGCTTGCCATTGTGGGCTCCCTGCGTACTTATGACACTTTTATGCGTGGCACATGGAGCTGAAGGTACATTTTTGCCATTTAATCTCACCCCAGACCCAGTATGACGGTCACTTTGTGCCTGATGTGCGAGTCTTGACTGTGCTAGCGCATACTGCGCCTTGAAGAGCATTCACCATTGTTTGTCCTTTCTTTGGTTGTTAGTCTTTAGACGCCTGTTCCCATACCAAAATCTTTACATACTTTGGGATTCACCTCATCAGACTGGCACTGTCCCTGGCATGATTTCGAATGAGACGTTTCTCTCTTTTCTCCCATATTCTCCTGTTACTCTTTCGCATTCATCGCTTGCATTCACTTCTTATGTTTGTGACCATGCTCTTCAAAAACAAATGATAGTAGTAGTGGTAGTATTTTTCCGTTGTATGATTTCTAATGTTACGTATTGTCCTACAATTTGGAGCTTAGTGTCAGTGAAAAGCGGAATGTTTTGGTAACTGGTGTATGACCGACTAAATCTGCGTGTTTTCATCGGAGCATGTTACCCTTATGCATTGACTGAAAGTAAAATGGGTTCACCAGTGACTATCTACTGCTTGAAAATGGGATCAGATTTATTAGTTGGGTGATTGTGCATCAGGAACTGTGAACAGTTTGGAGCCGCTAATTTTGCTCAGTTTGTAAAAATAATATTTTATCAAGCTGAATGCAGGATTCCTTGCCTCGCCTCTGAAAGTGGACCTCAACTGCAGCAGACGATGAGATGTTTACAACATTCAATAATACAGAACCAAGCTTGAAAGACGTTTCCACTCTCAGAGGAACCGTCTCAGAGATTGATCTCCATTGACCTGAACCTGTTTTGAGTATTTTCGAGGCCGAACAGATTTACAGAATGTATTTTGTGTGAACAGGCAAGATACTGCAAACAAATTCAAATGTGGAACAGTATTCTATAGAGTCAGTCTTTCTTCATTATTCTAATCGTAGTGCAAGAATCGTAGCAAACTTATATTAACATTTCACAGTTTTCGGCGTTAACAGCGGAAGAGTTTTACGTTTCAACCAGACGAGATGATAGAAGTTGTCATTGTAGACGAATTACGATGTTGAAACCCGCTTGAAATAGTGCAAAGCGCATGTATTATCTAGCTAAGTAGTACAATTTACTATAAGTATTTTCTGCCAGACATATAAACGAAATTTGCAAGGAAATTGCAGTCACTTGAAAAGTGATCGAAGAAAGCTGTGAGTTTCCTCTGAGTTTCCTCAAAAGTCAACGCAAGCTTAGGTTTAAAATTATAAGGACAATATAATTCAAGGCTATTTACCAGATCAGCGCTCTATCACGGACAGCAAAATGAACAAACTTAAAGCCTGTACCTATACCAACAAAACAGCTGTCAGTCGTTTCAGCGCGCTTGATATACATCTGCATTCTGCTGAATATCATATTCTGACTGATCATCGAAGTCTCCGAATCTCGCTACTTAGCGAAACTTTACGCATGTATCCGTTTGACGGTTCCCCGAATTCTCTATCGTTGCAATAGTGTCGAATTTTCTTTTGCAACAGATTGTTTAATTTTTTGTGCACTCCAGGGTCGCTGAATTTGATTTTGCGTGTTCCAGACCGTTCTGACAAAATAGCTCTCCTACTGTGGTGAGCTGAGTCTTGAGGTCATTCTTTCCATCACTGCTTGCATTTTTCTGGATTTCTGTTGCCAAAGGTGGTTCCGACACAATCACGGAGTTATAACGGTGCGTCGATCACAGTAGAATTTATTCCTACACACAACTTAGTGGGATATCTAAAGCAAAGTAAGAACACAAAACCGAACAAACCCAAAAGGCAAACACATGTTTTAAATAGACGTCGCACAACTTCACTAGGGAGACCCATCTGCGCAGCAGTCTTTCTGATGATGCTGAAGTCAGTTAGTAGATGTAAAATAAATTGATAAATTGGCATAAAAATGAACTGAAGATAGGCCTTAGGTGTTAAGCCTCCGATTCTACATGGGAATATGTAGATATACCTAAAAGCAGTAAAACTAAAGATAAACGGGAGTTTTTTTGTGTGTGGAGATTTCGTCCTGTAAGTGAAGCCAATCTATGTTGAAAAGCCGAGAAGCACTGTACAGCTGTTTCATCCTTATTGGGAATCATCAGCAGTGCGCATCTCACGACACTCCGAAGAGTCTCGAACCCGCGACCTCCTGGCTAGTAGTTTGAACACTTAAGCATTCGGCCACGAGCGGCTGATCAGCAGTGGGATTAACTCGCACTTAGACAGGATATAGCGCCGCTCATCCTTCAATCACGGGATCCACATCACGCGGTCACACGTGTTGACTGGCTCCTCGAGCAACGACTTCTCAGAGGAAGTTTCACTCATCGGGTGAAGTTTATTGTTCCACTGAGCTACTTATAGATTGTTGGTGGTGTGCTTTTCATCTATGCTTTTCAGCATAGATTGGCTTCACCTACAGGACAAAATCACACACAGAATCCTAACTCTCCTCACACTACCAATAAACGGGAGTTTAATTAGTCCCGAATCTGTATTTATCCAGTAATATTGACTCCTTTAGACCGAAAGACAGGTTGTTTCAGGCATTTAGCTTTTAGAATTTGTCTGATAACATTTGGACAACTATATTTTAGGGTCAACTTGGCAATTTTGTCATGAGCCAGGGAAATTCAAGCTTTTATCCACGCATAACCGGCTAATCATCTGGCTAGTCTTATAGGCAGTAAAGTACTATGATAATGGTACAAAATGGTGACTTCGGTTGAGGTCTTCTAACCATCTGGCAATGCACTGGGTAGAGTAACGCCACCTTTCTTCAGAAAATGTGGTAGTGTATATACTGTTATGGCTGAGATGAATTGTAATCCTTTGTGTCATTCTTTGGTTTTCTAAAAGTTGTTTATTTTCATTTACAGAATACTTCAGCGACCCTAATGATAATAACTATTTCAGTGAGTGTTTAAAAATGAGTTCTGGTCTTCTGCATCAGGATATTGTGTCAGTGCTCTGAGCTATAAGTGATATGAAAATGCTGAGAATTTTTCACAACCGTTGTTTGGTCACAGCCGCAAAAATTCTTTGGCCTCTGTCCAATAATAAATTTATTACTTTTTGAGCCTGGGGTCACTTTTGTGTCCCCCAAATATAAATCATGGTCAGTAATGTGTTAAAACATTGGTGAAAGGAAGAAAGCCTTTGCTGCGGAGTTGTTCGTTAGAGAAAAACCAGCTTAACAGTTACAAACTATTGGACA